ACACACACACACACTGGATTTAGTAGTTATGTGGACAAGATAAGTGGTTGACATTTCATTCTCCATACTGAAGTCTTTAAATATTTCAAATTATACCATTGCTCGTGTGGCAGTATAAATGTAATGATTTTTAATATGATCTTACTCTTAACACTATACTCGATAAATAAAATAGAAAACTGAGAAAATAAATTTTCCTTCCAGTTTTCAAAGTATGCTTGCATACAATGATCAAATGTATCTTAAAAGACTTTAATGCATGCAATCATCCAGTTAAAAGAAAATTCATAAATAATTTGTTTTCAATCTGTAAACAACAAGATTTATCTACCTTGCTTGAAAGAATAAACATTTTTTGTTGCTAAAAAATCTTGACTGAGAATATCTTTGAAAGAAAGTACTTTTTTTTACACTTTACCCTAAGCTAAGACAATTTCCTAGTATGCTTAGTTTGAGACATAGAGCGCATCCATAAAAAATAACAGTTTACCTTTTAATTTTCAGCATAACTGTAAATCAAAGAGTATATTTGGATTTTCGGAGTTTTTAAATGTGAAATATTTTAGGAATTTAAGTGATATGGGGAAAACTTCAACAGTAAATATAATCTGTTTTGACTTCTAACATTTTTTGTATGCTTAAGTTGGTATTCCTCTGTTTATGTTTCATTAACATAAAGTTTATTATATGATCTTACATATGGAGCTGAGCTACTAACATTTTCTTTTTTTGATTTTTTACTCAGATTTGAATCCAGCTTGAATTTGGAGGGTTCAAACCTGTACAGTGTTCCAACTCAGCGTACGAGTCAAGCTTTCAGTACTCAAGATGATATATTAGCCTTGAATTCTTCAGAAATACAAGACTTGGGCCTCATGTCTAGGCACAATAGTCTGGAAACTCGTCATAGGAGTAGTGTCCGGCAACGTAAAGCCCGACTTGCCAGTGAAGGTCTTCCTTCTCGACCTACTATGAACATATCACCTTCTTATGATGAAAGACTGTGTCATCTCCGCACCCTGGAGGAAGGTCAGAGAACTGTAAACAACATTTTTCATCACCATCATAACTCCAACCATCATCATTATTATCAGCATCCCAAGAAACACCACAGTTCCTCAAAGCCAGACTCTCAAAGCTTGGGTTGTCTTGATTATCATCCAAATGAGGATTATCCTGTATTTGACAATCCATCTAGTAGTTTAACTGAAACAACTGAACATTCCTTCTCAGAAAACAAGCTGGGCAACAGTCCTCTAGTCCAGTCTGTTGCTCAATATAACTTTGTGGAAAACCTTCGTGTCAGCATACCTGAACTGAATCGTAATGTTAAAGGAAGACGCCACTGGCTCATGGACTCTCAGTGTGTACAACAAATTGATCAGAAAACTTCCCCAATTTCTGTTTACCTTAATACATTAAGTCCTAAGTTGCACAGAGACATTGATGTTTATGATGACTGCAATTTAGGACAGTTTTCACTCAAAAATGCTCAAACTCAAGATTTTCCTGTGGATTGTTCTCAAACTCTCTCTCCCAAGCCCAAAACAAAAGACTGGTTGGAAACTTCACTAGATTCTCCCCTACCTCCAAGAAAGTCTAGGTCTATGGAAAGTCAAAATAGGTCATCTGGTAATACCCATCTTCCGGTAATTCAAGTTACAGCTGCAAATGCAGAGCTTAAAGAACTGGTAAATCTTCCACAGCAGGAAGAGGAGAGAGTAACAGTTCTTCCAGGTACCCAAGTAGGCATGCCCCAAGTTCCAGCAATATTACAATCACCTTCTTGGAGCAATACAGAAAAAACTTTATCCCCACACAAGGCATTGATCATGGAAAATTGCATGTCTTTTTCACCACCACCTCCATCTTTTTCAGTACATAAAGCAGGTGTAGAAGTGAATGTAGTCAGTATCGGACGTTTTCAACCTTCCCGGGAAGAGACTAAACCTTACGAGATATCAGACTTCTACAAGTACAGCACCAAGCACCGTAAACAAACCTCTATAATGACTGATAGTTATGCCAGTGAGTCAAACCTTCAGGTCAGTGTTAACGGACAACAAACAGGGCAAGCAAACTTTGCAACTGAAATGTTAGTCGGTCCTGAACCCGATTCAACCATGAGTCAGCTCTCTCCTATTGTCCCGGTTTGTTTTACAAGAAACCAGGAATATGGGGATCAATTTCGTCAAGTTAGCCCACAAAAAGATTTCTGCCAACCTCTTCTCTACCCCCAGGCACAATCAGTATATTCTCCTAGCAGCTCTATCCCTGTTAACGTGGATATTTCTTGCAGGTAACTTATTTTTGTGCTCAATTTCACACATTTACTAGATTAGAAATTATCAGTTGAATGAGCTTTTGATGAATCTTTAATGTTGTTTGTAACCTACCCAAAAGTAGGCTGCTCAAGCACAAGATTTATGTTGATTCATCCCAAACTCTATCTCCCAAGCCCAAAACAATAGACTGGTTGGAAACTTTACTAGATTCTCCTCTTTCTCCAAGAAAATCTAGGTCTATAGAAAGTCAAGATAGATCATCTAGTAATACCTATCTTCCAGTAATTCAAGTTACAGCTTAAAGAAGTGATAAATCTTCCACAGCAGGAAGAGAGTTAACAGTTCTTCCAGATATTCATGTAAGCAGACAGGTTTTTTTTCAAACTACTGTGTGATAACACAGTCTTACATTTATACTTCCACATTAAACTTTAACTGCACATTTTACTCCAGTCAGACAGGTTTTCCAAATCTCTTCTGAATAAATCCCTATCGTAATCATTTGATAATATTCTTAAAATCCTTATGTCATTAGCAAGTATTTTATTATAGAAATCTCAATTTCTGGAATATCGTCAATATAAAGTAAGAACTAAGTCAGACCAAAAACTAGGGAACACCATTAGTTATGCTTACCCATTCTGAATACCCTCCTCTTACATCAACTGTCTTAATTCTATAACTTAGATAATGCTACTGCATGTATGATTGATCAGGCACTGCTGTTCCATACTTTCCATCTGTCTTTTTCATGCACCATGTAATCTCCTGGTGTTACCTTCTGTTCAGAAACAGTTCATCAGCTCCTTTGATGTGAAACAATTGCATTAAGAATTAATATTTTCTACATGCTGAACCTGTATCTTCTTTTAAAGATCTAAAATGGAGTTTAGCTACATGGATAGAAAATTTGTGTTATCTTATTTGTGTTTATTTCTTTAGAGTATGTTGTGTTTTCATTTAAAAAACACACGTAACCATGGAACAATTCAATGACAGCAACGTGTACAATAAAATTTTTAAATAATATTTTAAAGTTTATAGGTTTTTGGTAGTCAAAGAAAACATTGATGGCCAAATAAAAAATCTTACCAAAAATTTTAACACATAACCATTGATCATAAAGCTTTAGCCAGTAAACTAAAAACAATTCCCTAATTAATAACTGTAATTGATTAATTAGTAAATTGCCATCTTTTTTTTATTCTTCAACAGTAATTTAGCAAGCAATGATTTTTTAGCACAATGAAGTTTATTTTTGAAAATATACTACATGTTTCTGTAGAAGACAGGTACTGTCGAAATATTTATTACGTTTTCTACATTAAATATCATTGTGCTTACAAATTGTTTTTTGTTAATCTTCTGTTGTATTGGCATAATGTGCTTTCCCACACATGTGAAGCTCTTTCAATACACATCTTATTACAATTGTTATGATGTATACATCTTTTACAAGCTGCCAAAGAATGATTACAATTATATTTGTCATAAAACATTATTATTAGGTCTATTATATTTTTAAACACTACGTTCTTAATCCAGTCCCACAGGAATTTTCATGAATCAGAAGAGTGTATAATAATAGTATTTCAACCATAAAAGGCATAAGCACCATAACAATTGTTATGGTATCAAATGGTCTATATAAATAGTGTTCAGACACTTGTTGTGTTTGTTGTATCCCAACCAGCCTGAAGATTCTGGATTGAGCAAAATGCATCATCAAAAATGGATATGACAAATATAGTGTGGTTGGAATACTGTTTTTATACTCTTCTAATTCTTGAGAATCCCAAAGGGACTAGATTAAGAACATAGTTAGTATTAGGCCTATTACATTTTTAAACACTATGTTCTTAAAGTGTAATAGGCCTAATACTAACATCTTATTACAGATACATCTGTAACAAATCTTGTATTCTGCACAGAGAATGATTGAAACGTTATTATTAGAGTATTGTTACGCCTCCGTTCGTTAATTAACTTTCCGTAACTTCGTTCCGACGAAACTTTAGCGACACAAGTCCTTACTTAATAAAACTGGTTTATTCTTTCCGAATATAACTTTACGATACACTTAATTTCAACAATCGCGCTAAAACAAATGCTATAACAACGAACATGCTCAATAATACTCTCTGTCTGCAGATCAATTACTCACTGTCTACACACACACATTGTTCCGTAACGTTGTCACCCTCTTATATATATATATATATATACCAAACTACCCTATATCTAGTAATCTC